GAAAAAAAAAAACAAACGGAAACGCTGTTTATCTACCGAACGGAGATAAATTTTTGTCATAGGTTTTATCATCGTCGCCATCAATGGCATTAGCATTATCATCGTCGTCTTTGTCCTCTGCAAATGGATTCTTCGACTCGTCGTACTCCCTTATGAACGGATTGGACGATACGGCAGGTGTTTTCGGAGGTACAAACGACTTTTGTACCGGCGATGATTTTGGCGGAGTATTATTTAATATAGTTAAATATCTGATGGGCACCGGTGAAGCTTTCCTCGAATTTCCACGAGGGGTTGACACGCCACTTCCGGTACCAGAAATATTTGCTTCTAAGGACGAGGAATAGATGTCAGATTTCGGGAATGATCGCATACGATCTTCCACTGCTGTGGGGAAATTGTCTACAGGACGATAAGTTTCCACTTTTCCTAATTATTTAACAATATAAAATTATTCTTTACGTTAAATAACAATAAATTCTTTGACAGAAATTTATTAATACCTAAGGTTGAATTTTTTCCTTCCGTCAACCTAATTTTCGCTTCCGCACCTGGTCCGTAATTTAACTTTGGTTCCTCGAATTTCGAAGAACCTGTTGGTAACAACTTGTCTGTGTCAGTAATTACCATTAATTTTTTAAACACTCCACGCCCAAAATAGTCGGCAACTAATGAAAACGGATCCTCAGCTCGATCAAGCAAAGTATGGAACGTTTCGTGAAGATCTTTCGACTGTTCTAACGCTTTAATTATGTCCAGTAATTGTTTATTGTTCGGCAAACAGGCTGGACATTCATTTTCGTTCTCTGAGAAACTTTGGAAACAGCTAGAACGTGCAAAAAATAAAGTGACGTATGAAGGCAATTCGTATGAATGACAATTATATTTAATACATAGTACGATATGAACTCACTGTTGATGATACGAATGTTGACACATAAAATGCACTGACGGTAGTTCCAACTGGTGATGGCATGCGCTACAACGCGCACCTTGGAAAATTATCGTGCTGTTTTTAATGGCTTCAATTTGTTCTCTTATTTTTTGAGTGTCTGCTCGATACTTCTCAGTCAATTCTACATCCGCTTGAGTTTGTTCGTGTTCTGTTCGTAGGACACTGTTTAGGTAAGTCTTAACATCGCCCAAGGTACAGGAGAGTGAAGTTGAAATTGCATCGATAACCATTAACGGTGACAAAAGTCTTTCTTGCGCTATGAATAATAAATGCGTATGAAACATTTATGACACGAATATAGAAGAAATAACGACGGACTATAATTGTACCTATGTATGCTAGAATATCCGCCAGAAGCTTAGCTGGAGCTTCCTTATTTCTAGCTACACTCCACAGTGCTTGAACCCATAGATTTGGGTCCTGATGACCGAACCGTTTGCAAGTAGCTAGAACTTGCTCGCTATCAGCTTCTCGCAAATGAAACCGCAATATTTCTTGATATCTATTGACAATAGAAGTTGTAATACGAGGTTCCTAAATACAATGATAAACGAATTACTTCAACGTACAGTTTACTTTCTTCGTAAAGGAAAAGCAATCCGCGTCTGAAATTATGTTGATGACACAAGATTAGGATCTGATCTTTATCGTAACACGCCTCTGAACTTTGTAGAAGCCTAACGATTTTCTGCTCGTATTGTACTTTCGCTACATCGTTATCCAAGGCTGACCATACATGCAGGTAGTGCTCTACTAATGTATTGTATACCATAGTACTCCATCTAGTAAAATGTATTTAGATTATTATCCAATGTAAGATTGTTTTGTAACAACTAGAGGATATACTAACTTAGTATTAGTTTTCACTAAATGTTCTAGGAATTCTACGAGACGCTCAGAATTATTGAGAAAAAGGTGAATGAAATCTTCCGGATTAGCTTTATCAATCTCTTGGTCCACTGTGCCATCTAGAGCTTCCTAAATATAATGTATTATTTCAATTAACATTGTTATTTCCTAGTCTACTGAATATATCATTTTACCTGATCTACAAGAGGTTTATTGGAAGGTCTATAATTGGTACATAAGGCCTTCAGAAATTGTGTAGATTCATGTGGTACATTTTCTATAAGAATATTGCCGTACTTCTTCATGTTAGACTCTGCCTAGAAGAGTAGATACAATTAGATCTTTGTAATGAATTTGAAGAACGTACGAACGTACTTCTTCGAACTCCAAAGTTTCCATGTATTCTAAAGCTTTCTTATATTCATGTTTATCCTCTATTTGAATGCGAAGATACCACTCATGTTGGCCATGCTTTTGGGCAAGAAGCAAAGCATCTTCGGGTGATGATTGACGGCAGACTTTTATTGCAATTTCCACGTCGAAATCGACCTCCCTGTCTTTCGTCTAAAATTACCGTACATGTATTTTATGTACAGAAAAAGAAGCACACACTGATTGATAATGTATAGATTAAATAATCAGTTGATTACCATGATGAATTCTTTCAATTTGTCTGTATGATTTAGTTTTGTATAACAATTTAATAATAATGTAGTGCGATCTTCTGTTGCTTGACCGTTTTTATGTAGAGCTTGCAAGTAAGTAGTTAAATTATCTATATGTTGAGAATCTAAGAATTTTCTGATTACATAAGAAGGTTCCAATTTGCCAATGGTTTTTATGTATTGCTCTATGGCACCATTGTGATCTCCTTTTGAATACAAATGGTCCCCGTATTGCCGGAATATGTCTACGAGACCCTCAGCATCGTATTGTTGATTTTTAGCTATTCTAAAAGAATTATGCAATTATTTTAAAGGATTGCATTGGATAGTGCAATTTAAAAGACTATATTATATACCTTATAGATACATCATACAAATTCTTTTTGAAAAGTAAAGCTAATTTGGATTGTAAATCTTTTTCATCCAAGTGATAAAGTTTACTGTCTCCACTGAGTATAAAAAATCCACCCCATTCAGATAATACAGCTTGCACAGAAAGCATTGGCGCAGAGAAGACAATGAATTTGTTTTGTATATCTAGTACTGTGATCACATGTTTATCTGCACCTACGGGTATTGGTTCTATGGTACTGTAAATACATAGAGCTAATAATTGTGTTCTTACTATTAAGTAAGCATGACTTAAACATCTATACAATTTTTTACCTTGGTTTTGCAGAAATGGTGGTGGTTTTTCTTGGAACATTTGCAGCTTCTTTAGCTATAATTACTAAATAACTTCTAAACCATTCTAACATTGTTTTCTGACCCTCTACAGCATAACAAGGACCTCTGCCATCAGGCGTATAACAATATATTGCCTAATGTAAAGAAAATTTATTAGAAGAATGTTCACTGTTCACTAGAATGAAAGTTTGATGATTTAATTACATCATTTCGACCAATCATGAAGTGACTATCTTGCATAGATTCTGTGAGAACACTGCATTTCCTGGCACAACCCATATTGTCCAAGGAAGACTTAAATTCTTTATCCTTTACAGTGATATTATACAAAAAGACACTGTCTGGTGTAGCAACGAACATATGACTTTGTTTCCCCATAGTTCTTATTGCAAGTCCAGTGATGGAAGCATTTGTATCTTTCAACACCTTTATCTTGTTTTTTCTTTCTCTAGTTAAATCACCCCTACAAATTATCAATATTACATCAGAAGTTCTATTAAACACGTAATGAAACAATAGGTGGAAGTTAAAACGCTTGAGCTCAAATTAAAATGATCCTTGAAATGAACTCTTTGTTAATAATATTATTTAACCTTCTTAATTCTTGTTACAACCCAATTTATTTTTACCTATAGAGCATAATAGAGCCATCTCCGAATCCAATAGCCATTAAAGTCATATTAGTATGGACACAGAGTGCAGTTGCTGGAACCGCTCTGTAGCTGGGTATAGCCCTACTTATACGAACACATGTTGGATTGCCTTGCTTGTCTGGTTTAGTTAAGTTCCAAACTTTGATAGTAGGATTACAACCAGGTTCATCTTCCTAAATAAACATGTCCTTAATAAAAGTAACGAACATGTTTGCAAGAGACTCCTAGTAATTTTATAATAATACTAACACCAATGGTGAACAAGAAAGTGGAATGTTCAACTTGCTGAGCTAACGTTAACGTGATTTCATATGCACGAAAGGTGGTAACATCGTAGGCTCTATTGACTAAATGCACACTGCCCGTGCTATCTCCAAAGACCAAATTGCCATTACCACTTGTAGCTGCTGTGACTTGAGCATCCTGTTTGATATAATCCATGTTGTATAACAAATAACCTAACCTATAGAAAGTAATACTACATTGAATTCTACTAAAATTGAAAGAAACTCACTCCAAGAGCCTGAGCGATCTTCCCTCCGTCGACTTCTTTCTCAAGATCGAAGAAATTGAAGCGTCTCCACTGAAAAATAAACGCGTTTTCAACGTGGAGGCGTTGACACTGAGGTTATGATCAGGTCATGAAGAATACTTCGTCGCACGATCAAAAAGAATGCCGTACAAACCTCAAGAAATGCCATGTTTAGTTCCAGTTATTTATGTACACATTTGTGAAAAATACTGTCGTTTTTCTGAACGAACAGTGCACGTACGCGCTGTCCCCTTTGACAGTTATCTGACAACGAATTTAATCGGCAGCACGTTCACCATCTTTTCGACTATATTCGATCAGCTGATTATGACATACTTCAAGTTCTGCGTTTGCGCTCTTCCTACAGTGTATTTCTCAATAATACCGTCAAGTCTGTATCAATATCTCGACTATTTTAGTATAGATGGCGCCGATTTTGCGGCTATATAGCCAACGTGTCGGTAATGTCGGTTTCTACTGGTAGATAAAGTCAATTTCAGTTTGTTATTAAAAATCGTTTAACTATAAATTTTAAATTCTTTTGTTAATATCCGTGATATTCTTTTTGTAAATAGTCAGTTAGAAACAAGCCGTCATAGAAGTTGGTCGATAAAATATTTCAACATTATAATTTAGTGAACGTTGTAAATAAATAATATATTGAATAAAGAAACGCCACAGTTATACCGACAACGTTTTCCTGCCGTATCAACACTATACCGAGTGTACCGACATTTCAGTACCATTAAAGATATCTAACGATACCGACGTTAGAAGATGGATCGGTTTCAAGTAATTTTCGTAGATGTCGTTATAACAAAATTCAAATCTGGACGCCATCTATAAACAATTTAAACTGACGTCCTATGCGATAATTACAATTTCTAATTTTTCTTTTCGTAACAAAAATTAAATGATCTACCTGTGTCAATCTTTCCATTTAATATTTATCAACTGCTTTTTTGTAAGGACAAACGTAATAAAAACATGAATAATAAAAATCCAGTGGCGGCTCGCGTATAGGCACTGTGGCACTACAGCAGTCCCAATTTTTATTTGATATTAACGATAACATTTTTCCTTAATAATTTTGTAAGTAATTTTTTGTAATTTTTCATATTTTACGTATTTTCTCTTTTTTCATCGTCAAGTATTGTGGATGATTTGTCTATTCTAAAAACATTACCGTTATTTTGTTTTTAGCTATATACATACCGGGGTCTTTTGGAGGACCCCACTCAGCATTTTAAGGGTTAAGCTTAATGTCAGTGACCATCCCCCAGTTTATGAGAAAGATACAAATATTTTAACCTCTTGCCTTATAATATCCTCTTTCTAATGCCTTCCTTTGAATTCAAATTACTTAATTATTCTTCTGATATCAATTATTCTATTATATATCATATATATGTATAGAGTATGCCTACAATTTTTCACCTTTCCCAGTAAATTATTGACAAACTGTTGTACCAAGTACACTTGAGAAATATATCATGAGGCAAGTGGTTGAAACAAAAATAACTAAAAATTTTCTATAGCAGCATCCCCACTAATTGTATCTACGAGCCGCAACTGATAAAAGCTCTCTTTCAACGAAGAAAAATGATTACCATTTCTAACGTTTCCTAAATACTTACACGTATCTCAATAAAACTTATACGAACAAATCCAAGTTCAATTGAGAGAGAAGAACAAACTCATCGTTCCTCGAAAGTAAATCCTTCCCGCGAAAGTTGTAGCCGAAAAGTAACTAGAGCAGGTGTGACGAAAACACTTAGCGAGCCCAGAGTACCAAAGCAATCCCTCTGAACACTCAGACATCTAACCCCTTTGAACAAAACGCCTGCTAGTGCCTCTGTGCCAGATGGATTGCGATAGTTTCCCGGATCGCTGGTCAGAATTAGTAAGACGTAAGTTCTGTTATATTTGTTAAAAAGGACGAACAGTTAGTGTCGACGATGGGGCGGGACTTGTTTTACAAGGTCTGTGTCCTCGCTGGGCACGCGGGGAATCAAGAAGAAATGGTCGCGGGAAACTCTGAGAATCGATTATAAATACAACACGAGTTCCATTTTCTGATATTACCTGGAATCAGAGGCTCGAGGATCAAGAACGACGTCTCCGAGATCGTGTGTCCCCATCCCCGTAGCTTTAACTCCGCGAAGATCGTCGTTCTCTCTCCGCCTTCAGGACACTCCCTGGGACCGAGGTTCGAACAGGAAGCAACCCCGTCGAAACTTCTAATCGATTTCAGTCCCATCGAACTCTCTTCTCCCATCTTTTCGGCGACGGAAGCGCGCGCTCATCGTTTCCCTCCGCTTCCTGTCCGAATCTCGATCAACCAAGGGGCGCGAGCATCCCCTTCTCTAGA